GAGAGAGAGAAGGAACCGTCGTCGTTGCAACTTGCAGCGGCGGTGGCGGGAAGACATGGGAGGGAGGGAGAGCAAGCGAGCGAGTGCGAGAGAGAGAGAGAGAGAAGGAACCGTCGTTGTTGCAACTTGCACCGGGCGGTGGCGGGAATACAAGAGAGAGAGACAAAGAGAGTGCAACAACGGTGGTTGTGGTGGAGCTTCGTTAGGTTACAGTGAGGGTTCGATTCGAGTTATATGAAGGACAAAACAGTAATATTAATTTTTTTTAGGGCACTTATGTCTTTTACACATCTCTAAATTATGTCTTACCGCATTAAGTAGCTGCTCCACCTCTTAGAAACTAAGATTTGAAATCCAATTTCAGATCTATAATAAGAGGGCATACCAAACGAAGGTGGCATTTGAAAAACAACGTTTTCAGATTCAGACATCTGAAAAGTGCAATCAAATGCCACCTAAGCACGTTAAATGAGCACTTGATAAATATTTTGACAACTTTGACCATTCGACGCATCAATAAAGTCAAATGGGCAATGAGTACAGACAGGATCTAGTAAGCACGTTACATAAGCACTTGATAAATATTTTGACAACTGTCAAAAATGGATATTAATATTTTTCAAGTATACACTAGGGTATTTTAAAATACAGTGTCAATTTTTTTTTTTTTTTTTATAAATGCTCATTTATCGTATTTAGACGTCACTGTACAATATTGAATCTACCAAGATGGTTGCTATTAGGTATGTAGGAGGTTTTTGCTGATTCTAACTTCTTGTCATATCCTACGTGAAGTCAAGGTTTTAAAAATTGAACCGGAAACGGAATCGCTTTGGCAATTGGTTTTCAGGTCAGTGGTTCAATCGTTTGGATCAAACGGTTTAAACACTTTAACAGGTGATATGTCATCTTACTCATTAGACTGAAATATTAGGGTAATATGCATAAAAATACAGTGAAAAAGAAGGTTTGAGAATGAAGGTGAGGAAATTGTCGGCTGGGAGAGTTTAAAAAAGAAAGAAGACTGGAAAGAAGGAGGAGGAGGAGGAGGAGGTCACTTGCAGTGGCAGCGATGACGATGGCAACCTAAGGCAACGGTGGTGACAAACTACAGTAGCAACGATAATGACAAACTACAGTGGCAATGGCGGTAGCGAACAAAAACAACAATGGCAGTGGTGAACTACATTGGCAATGGCCAATGAAACTAGATCTGAGATTTCTCTCAGCTCTCTCTCTCTCTCTCTCTCTCTCTCGCAAATCTCTTGTCTAGATTGTTCTCACATATCTCTAAACTTGAGATCTCTCATATCTGAAGTTCTAAACTTATCTTTTCATTCTTTCTTTTTGTCTATTAATAAACCGCGAACCGTTGTTTGGGTCAAATGGTTCAGCGGCCAAACCGTTTGGGTCAATGGTTCATTGACCAATTCAACAGTTTTTGCCAGGGACCAGGTTTGGGGTACAACAGAACCGGTCGCCTGGACGGTTCCCGGTCCGAGCGGTCCGACCGTTCGGGTCAATGATGTTTTGAAAAACATTGCGTGAAGCCAACTTTGCGAAGAACTAGCTGGCCAACTATTGTTTGTAGTGATTTTGTTTGTTTCTTTGTTGTGTTCTTCCCTTTCTATCAAAGAAAAAAACAAGAGGTTTGGGGATTAGCATTAAAAAGGTAGGGACGAAAATGAATCAAATCAGATTTGAATCAGGGTATATCCGAATCTGATCAGATAAGACAAATTCTCATAAATGTCGAATCAAATCCGATTCCATTAAGGATGTCAAATATCCAAATTTGATCATATCTGAATTAATTTCTAACAATTCTAATAAATTATTAGAAGGAAAATAAATATTTTAGATAAAGAAGAACAAAAAATAATAGTATTTTTTCAACTATCTTCACCATATATACACATACTTATTTTATAAAATAAATAATATAAAAATATAATCTAAACATATTTATAAATAAATAAATAAATAACATATATGCTAGGGGTGATTCGGATTTGATTCGATCCAAAAAAAATCTAATAATGGAATATCCTATTATGACAAAATAAATAAGATCGGATTCAGATTCGAATCGGATCATGATTTGATCCATTGCACCCCTAAAAAAATGACATATTAACATGGCGCATCAACACCTTGTCGATACAATACGATATGCCTCACAAAGAAGTTAAAAGGTTTTGTGATAGAAGATGTTGACTTTATCAAAAAGAGGTAGTGCAATTCTTTTATGTTGTATAATGTGGAGAATAAGATAAACTAGTTGCGTATAAATGGTAATTTATAGGCTATAATTTATAAGATAAATTTCACCTAAAAATTAGAAAAGAATTAGGTTGTATTTGGTTTGAAAAAAAATGATAGGGAAAGGAAAGAAAATCTATACATGGTTTTTTAAGTGGTAACTTGTAGGCTATAACTTATAAGGTAAATTTTGTCTAAAAAATGGTGAAAAAATAGGTTATGTTTGGTTTGAAAGAAAAAATAGGGAAAGGAAGAAAAACCTAATCAATATACATTAAAGTACCTTATACTCTGTTTGGGAAGAACACACAAAAATGTATAACACAAAGCCTTGTATTTTGTATTTTAAACCTGTATTGGCATTCCTTCCAAACCGAGCCTTCAATACTTGAAAATGGTGTAATAAGAATTGGCCATTTGAATTTAAAGATATTAACTATTTAGTTGTAAAGTTTTGATGCCATATGAGTCTTACAAAATAGGCAAATATAAAACAAATTCTTTTGGCACATTATTGTTGTACATAAACAAGTTTATATCTTCTACTTGAGGTGAGTCATCAAACATTAATCTCCTTGAAACTTTGCTGCTCACACAGCCTCGCCTAGTAGAAATTGCTCCTCAATGGTCGCCTTGGTCTCTCAATGCCATGACATATGATTCATGATTAAAGGTCAAGACAAAGATTAAAAAATATTTTTATATATAGAAACTACTTTTTATATAAAAGTACTTTGTCATTCTGTATGTTTTATGGCTAAAAGGGTAAATTTAATAGAGTATATAAGATAATCTTGGTTAAAAAAAAAATTCTTGTTTGATCATATAAACAATTTACTATCCAATGTCATTTTTATTAAGATTGTATTATCAAGAATGAAGCTCTAAGTTGTTATTATCATAGGTAATTGTACATGACAAGTATAATCAGGTCTCT